TCTACTCCCGTAAAGATTTACACCCTTGGAAACCCTGTACAGGGTCGCTATGGGTCGGACCCGACTCGATGGCACTTAACAACAACAACAATATGGGACTGAAACGTATCTGCATCCCTTTCTGCCCACCTGGATAAGTTTTTTTGTTCATTTCCCCACCCCACCTCATTCAATATATTCAATGGAATCAGCATATAATAAAAAACAAAAAACAGTTTTTGTCCAGTCAATTCATGCTTTGGAACAGAACTGTGCTCCATAGGGTATTATGGGCTGTGACCTTTCTGATTGCCTGACTTTACCTTCTTTATTAAGGCTTCAGTATAGATGACGCATCAAACCATACATCCAGGTGAAATTTTTAATATGGACAGATTGGCTTTATTTTCCTCTGATCTCATTTCATTTCAAGTGGTTCTACCTACCACCACAACACACTACTGCCCCTTTTATAATGTGCAGTCGTTTCAAAGATTTCTTCTTTCTTAATAAGCAAGAATAATAATGATCTCAAATAATGGAAATGACACTTATCTGCCATTTGGATGATTTCCAGCTAAGAGCTTGGGCTGAGACTGAATTTTAACTGTCATTTACCAGATGTATGACCTTAAGTTGTCTAACCCTCTCTCTGAATATGCTTCTTCATAGAAAAGCTTGGAGCTAATAAAATATGCTTCACTGGGTTGCTCAAAGGATAAAACTGGTAATACATGTAGAAGTACAATAAAATCTGTAAAATCCCATTAAAATATTAGTTATTTTTACTATAAGATTAAGATAGACCACTTAGCTACTTCCTAGGAAGCTCTAAGCCTCTTCATATTCCACAGTGACAAACAGATCCAGGAACATACAAAAAACCTTCAGACAACCATCAGTCCCACCCTAGCACACATACGACGTTGAATGAACATTTTTCAGTGAATAAAACTTGAGTCGGCATGAAACATTTTCTATTCCTACAGAGATTTGAGGAGTCCTGGTATGGCTTTATGGGATAAAGCACTGGATTGCAAGGTCAGTTTGAACCACAAGGTGGGTGATTCAAACTAACCAGCTGCTCCTTGAAAACCCTATACAGGGTTGCTATCAGTTGGAACCAACTTGACTACATGTAACAGCAGCAACAACATAGAGGTGGTAAGGCTACATAGACATCTAATTTGAATACCAAGCTTCGGGACAAAGGAAACTCTGTGAAGCTTGTAGCTTTCCATTAAGTCAGAGGAGCCAACAGCCCAGATTTGGGTGAAATCACGCTAATACTCTGAAGACATCTGAAGAAGGCAAAGGGACAAAACGATTTCTCTTACCTGCTAGGGGGCAGGGGACCAACTCTCCTTCCAGTCGTGCTTCAACGTCTCCACCACTACAAGTGTCCCCAGAAATCTTCCGGTACCTGCCTCACCCCACCCCCCAAAAAAAAGCACACAAGAGGTTAGAACCAGCAAAGAAAACAATCATTCTTGAAGGCATCCTAGTTGGGAATATATCTCCTGTCCATAGAAAATAGATTCCGTCTCTTCATTTCATAATAAAACTAAAAGTAGTTTAATCATTCTGAATCAGTTCCAATTATAATTCGCTTAGGCAGGAGCTGGCAATTTGAGGCACTGTCCTAGGCATGATTCTTAACTGTATCTCTTCAATACACTCTTCCGAGGATGTGTCCTTGCTGAAGTTTATGACTTAGGATACTCCAACAGTTGCCAAGAAGCCTAGAGATTTGCAATTTTTTTCCCTCACTGGGAGTAAGAGTTCGCAAACATCAGACTTGAAAATGTTGCCCAAGATCCTTGAAACCTTCTAGTTTGGATTTCTAGAATTTCGAGTAGGAAGGCAACCAAGAGGCCAATGTGCTCACCCGATGTGACTAATATCAAGAATTATGGACGAGAACAATGAGACTTGGCTCCTTTTGTGATACGCACCCTCTTGTTCTCCTGTAAGTAGAACCCACAGGACAAGGCGCAGGAGGTGAATATGACTTCCCAGAAAACTCAGGATCTGGAACACAAACTTCCAATGACAAGTCTTCACTCATCTTGAAACCAAAGTCACTGAAAAGGCAATTAAAGTTTATCAAGGCATTGTCTTGTATAATTCAAACATTTCAGTCCCAATCCTTGGACTTTAAACTATACTGTAGGTGTACCACTTCTGGTGTGGCTCTGTAAGATCAGCATTGGGCTGCGAAAACCACAAGGTCAGCAGTTAAAACCCACCAGCTGCTTCTCGGAAATCCTATACAGGGTTGCCATACAGCACTTAACAACAACAACAATGCATACCACCTGCATTTTAAGCTACTTTGTCTACATTTTTAAAAATGCATTTTCAAAGGGAACTTTCTATTAGAGTAATAGCTGGAAAACCTCTACACCCTATGCCTGAAGTGCCCAGAGAGGCTGAGGCAGACCCTCACTGGGATGGGCTGGCCGAGTAGCTGCAGTAATGAACTCAAGCATTCCAGTGATCATGAGGAAGACACAGGATTAGGTATTCCTTTACTCCGATGTGCACAGGCCACCAAGAATTGGAGTCAATGGGATAGCAGCTATCTTCATAGAGAACTATGCTGTAGACAAAAATGATACATCGGTATGCCAGGAGCAAAACATTCAATGTCAGCTACTTTCAGGGTCTTCATCAAAGACTCTGGGCCTCCTCTCTCTTCGTTCAAATGAATTCAGCAAGTGACAGAGTTAAAGAATGAATAAGTATCCAGTGAGAGTTTCGTCTAGGCATAATCAAAATAAAAAAACAGAAACTAAAGAGAAGAGCTTCATCTTTAAAAAACAAACTACAGATTCAATGTAACACCATGTTCACACATTCCCTAAAATCACCTTGGATGCCTGCACTTGGGACATGCTTTCAAACCTCCCAGCTCAGCAGGCAGTGCCCTTTGAGTAGGAAAACGCAAGACCTGGGTCTGGTTTTGGTTTGCCTTAGCTGAAGGCCTCTCCTAGGCCCTACCTGAGAGCTTTAAACAAGGTAACTGTGTTTCTATGCTTCTGAAGATCCAGGCCAAGCCATGAATTCTTATTATTTAAAGGAACTTTCCTCACTGATGTGCTGTACCAGAAGACTTCTTTTACTCTGTTTAGTTAAATTCAATGAATCCTTCACTGTGGGTTAATGCGCTGGACTGCAAGGTTGGTTCGAAACAAAAGGTCAGTGGTTCAAGTGCACCAGCCGCTTCTTGGAAACCCTAATACAGGGTCACTATGAGTCAGAACGGACTCGACAGCGTTTGACAACAGCAGCAACAACATATGAAAAGTACAGGCAGATACAGGGCAAAGTAGCTGTATCATATCATAATCCACATGGAATAATTTTAAGAGCCTTGTTCAAAAGGAAGCAGTTGTTTTTTGTTTTAAGAGCCTTGTTCAAAAGGAAGCAGTTGTTTTTTTGTTTTGGTTTTTACGTTTTTATTGTAAATTATGTGGGTTTACATGGGAGAACATTAGCTTTACATTCATCCTATCATATATCATTACATTGCCATGGTTACAATCCTCTCCATGCCTATCAACCAAAGGGTATACCCTGCAAGCCTGCCCCCTGGTCATCAGCACACAGCCCCTCTCATTCTCTGGGCCCAGAGTCCCCAGCCGCTCCATCTCTGGCATCACTGTTTCTCTGGGTAGGGTCCCTCACTCTGATCTTCTCCTTTGATGGTCCCAGGGACCTCAGCTCGTGGACTGCAAAATCAGTCACTCCCCTCCTTTTGTTACAAAACATCTACCTTTACATTTCCGACCCTCACAGTCCTGATAGCAATTCTTCACTATTGTACCACAACAGCCCCATCCCAAGAGATTGGAAATCATTCAGTGGAGATTCTACCTAACCCTGCCCCGTCTGGAACTAGGCTCCCTCTTGGAAGCCTGTAAGCCAGTCACTTCTTGCCTTTATAGGCCCCCCATTTTGGGTAGCCAATGTCTATGTTGCCCATCCCTGTCAACCCTGTGTATTGAGGGGGTGGGAGTGATCCTTGCTGTCGATGTGTTCCCTTTTTTGAGCTAATACATCCATAAGTATAGGTAAAGTTTATCAAATTAAAGCAGGTAACTCTTTTTTTTTCCTCTTCTTTCTTCTTCTATTTGAGTTCTGATCATCCAACCATTAAAGCCAGGTCAAGTGGGTACTATCTGCAAGTATGAGTGTTCTTATGCATCTCTCCTCACTTCATATCAGCTGAATGCTTCACTCTCCGCTCTAGTCTTCCGTGGCTATGTCACTGCCTCTGGGCCCAGGAGTCCCTGGGTCTTGCTGTACTGCTGGCCATCCAGGTCTCCACCCAGGTTCACAGGGGTCTATTGAATGTGGTCAGACTTAGCTCCCAACTTCATTGCTGTGTTTCCCCTTCTTCCCCTTATCGGTGACCAATGTGGTCATCAGCCAAAGGCCTGCTTGTGTATTCCCCTTGAGTCTTCATCTTGGAAGGGGGTTTGCTTTGATGCTCCCAGGCGAACAGCTTGCTAAATTCTTGTAGTAGTCAGTCAGACTGCCATTATTGTTTTTGAGTTTTATTGCCAGTCTTTCTTTCACGAAGTATATTCTGTTCTTCTAGCCGTACCAGGCTGGTCTACTTGTCCTTTCAAGTGGAAATTTCCCACCTCACATGATTCTGGCTGGGGTTCAGGATTCCACCTGAATTTGTGCAATGCAAAGCCTCCACAGGAAGCTTCTTTCACTGGGCAACTTCTAGCCCCCTTTAAGGTATTCCAATCAGTTATAGGCTAAAGAGGGACTTACAAGCTTTCTATTGTGATGTTTCTGGCTATTCCTTTATCTCACCCTCAAATGTTTATTTTACAAATGGTAGGCAAGGGAAACCAAGATTCAAAAGACAGCCAAGCATCTTAATATTATTCCCTCTTTTACCCATTCAAACCATGCCTCAATCCCTGTATCCCAGAGCCCTGTTGTTCCAAGGTTGTACATACATCATCATTTACCTTAGCCCATGCAAACCTGCCTAACTGTTCTCCCATCCACCTTGTTCTTCCATTCCCCTCTCCTTTCTTGTGTATTAACCCCCATATTCC